ATTCAAAAGGATTTTTAGTTGAATTTGGTCTGAGAAGCACCCTATTGATGATGTATACTACAGTACTCACAGCTTCAGCCCAAAATCCCTTTGCAAGACCTTTTTCAAGCAACATTGTTCTCCCCATTTCTTGAACAGTCCTATTCTTTCTTTCCACAACCCCAATTTGTTAAGGAGTAGCTACAGCTGAGAACTCTTTCTTGATACCCTTGACATCATAGTAGCTTTCAAACTCTCTCATTGTGAACTCAGAGCTAAAATCAGACCTCAGTCTCTTTATAGTGCACCATTTTTCATTTTCAACAAGATTCACAAACTTAATGAAGTGAGAAATAGCTTCAGATTTCTCGTTCAAGAAGTAAACCCACACCATTATACTGAAATCATCAATGAGAAGCATAAAGTTCTTACTTCTACCACTACTAATAGTTCTAGAAGGACCACAGAGATCCATGTGTATCAAATCAAGAGCTCTGGAAGTGTTAATTTCTTTGGAAGGAAATGAAACTTTAGTTTGTTTTCCCAATTGGCAGGCTTTGCAGGTATGATTATCACTCAATTTTAAATCAGGTAAGCCTTTCACAGCTTTCAGCTTCAGGATTTTAGACAGATTTCTTGAATGAAGATGACCTAGCCTCTTGTGCCACAGTATAGCATCATCAAGTGTGGTTAAGTTACATTGAATAGCTTCTTCAGTGACTGTGTAGAAATTTTGAGAAGATCTACAGGTTGAGAATATAACTTTTTCTGATTCAATGTCAACTACATTGCACTTCTCTTTGTTAAAACACACCTTCTTCCCACTGTCACACAATTAACTTACACTTAGAAGGTTATGTTTGAGGCCTTCAACAAGTAAAACCTCTTTGATCTCAGGCAGTTCTTCAGATTTGCTCACAATACCAATCCCTATAATTTTAGCCTTTTGATTATCACCAAAGATCACATTTCCACCATCAAAGTTTTTCAGAGAGACAAACTTGGAATCATCACCTGTCCTGTGCCTTGAGCAACCAGTATCCACATACCATTTGTCATTAGTGTTACAGGCCTTAAAGGTTGTATACACCAACATACTTACTGCATTCATCCTTTTAGGCATCCACATCATCTTGGACTTTACAAGAGAACCTTTATCCTTAGCCTTCAGAACTTGCGTTATGTCAGATTTTTTCACATACATCTTGGTTACTTTGAAGTTTCTGATGGATGATATAATAAAATCACTTTCATTCAACCTTAAGTTGCTGTAGGTGTTGTCAAGTATATCATACTTTGATCTCAAAGGTTTTATAATTCGAAACCTTGCATACACCTCACCAGTAGTGGCCTTAACAAACACAGATTGGTTTTGTTTAAACTTGGTTGTAGTGTCACATATATAACCAATTCCAATCTTCCCAATCGCGTAGTGGATTGCTTCCAAATTTCAACCATCTTCAAAGACCTTTCTTCAAGAATCAGTGAAAGTTCTTCTCTACATCTTTTGGTGTTGGATTGAGACTTCCATAGACTTGAGAAGATAAGAGAAACAGAACACAAGGTTGACAGTTTAAGCTTAAAGTGTTTAACAAGAAGTTGTTTGGATTTCTGCAATTCTGAATTGAGGATTTTTATCTGCGACTTCTGTTGATTACACTTCACAGCAAGTCTCTCACACTCTTCAAGTATTTCTTCAATCTCTGAGTCACTGTCTTCTTCATCTTTAGTTATAACTTGAGGTGTTTCAAGAATAGCCATGAACAAACATTCATCTTCTTGTGATTCTTCAGGTTTGTCTTCTTCAGGTACTGAATCCCAATCTGAGATAAGAGCCTTCCTTCCAAATCTTCCCTTGAAGTTTGTTCCTTCATTCTTTCTCTGATTTTACCCTTTTGAAGTTAGATAATTTGAGACATAATGGCCAGGCTTACCACAACCATAACAAGTTAGGTTTTGAGATTGATTTCTCTTCTTAAACCCGAACTTCTTGAATTTCTTTGACATGTAGGCCATTTCATCCTCTTCAGACTTTGGTTCAGATTCTTCTACAACTTCTTTGGCTTTAAGTGCAACTTCTCTTCTTTGAAAAGTTGGAACACCAATTCTTATTTCATAGGCTGTAAGAGAGGCTTGAAGTTCATTAATTTTCATTTAAGACAAGTCTTTGTCTTCAAGAATTGTGACTTTAGCATTGAACCTATGTGTAAGAAACCAAAGTATCTTTTTACACACATCAGAGTCTTTAATGCCTTCACCAAAGGCCTTCATGTTATTGACAATATCATTAATTCTGAAAAGATACTCAGCAACTGTTTCCCTTTCTTCCATCTTACAAGCTTCATACTAAACTTTAAAGAGTTAAATCTTGTTTTCCTTGATAACATTATTACCTTCATGAGCAGCTTGAAGTGAGTCCCACATTTCTTTAGTTGTTTTACAATTCTTAACCCTAGTAAACTCTTGTTGCTTCAAAGCACAGAAAAACACATGTTTGGCTTTACCATCATTAGCCACAACAATTTTATCTTCTTCAGAAAGGTTATCAGGACTGAGAACCAAGATACCATGCACAGCAGCATGCCATACATCATAGGAATAAGACATTAAGAATGCCTCCATTCTTGTTTTCCATGAATCATAGTTTAAACCACTAAACCCTAGAGCTTTGTTTGTAACTTGGCCTTCATCCATTACAATGATCAACTATAGGCTTGTTAGAACTCTACACAGCAGACCAAAGCTCTGATACGAATTGTTGGACCAAGAGGGGGGTGAATTGGTCAACTCTTTGAATTTATAAACTTGAAAGCAATTAAAACAAGTACACAATAAGCATTGCAACAAGATTTACAAGGAAACCCTTTCAATGGGAAAACCTTGGTTCTTGGTCTCTGCCAATTCAATCATCCACTAGTTGTAAGCAAGCTGTTGCACACTCAGCTGTCTCACTCTCTGCACACACCCTTGTACAAAAGTAGACACTAGTTTTTACACACTCTACTCACACACTAGCTCAAAATAGTGAACACAATCACTCCCCCTGTCCTTAAAAAATTAACCTGGACCAAATAAGCTCTCACAGCTCATAACACACAGCATTACAGATGTATAACAGTGTAATCAAGTCCTTTTTACAATTGAAATAGGTTAGACAGCTCAAAATTCTAAGTCACTACCTCAAAACACTAATCTATTGAAGCTAGGGTTTGAGGGGTAAAATAGGAATTTCCCTTCAAGAAAAATTCAACAGCACCTTACACAGTCTTCTTTTACTATATTACTCATGTTCATAACTTTAAACAATGAAGTATAGCATGAGTTTATCACAAAGATCAATCACATCACATATATCAGTAAAACACAACTTTAGCCTTAGGGTTTGAACACTCAAAATCAAAACATACCACTTTTCTATCACAAGTCCAACTTCAACAATCTTGATTCATCAAAATATACTTGCTAGCAGTTAAATACCTCATAGAATAGCTAAGTATAACCAATTAGTACTTGAATCCAAGATTAAACCAGAAAAATAAGCTTAACTAGTGATCTCACAGTCCAAATCCATTTTTAGCATGTTTTCATCAAAAACACAGTACTGAGCAAGTGTAATAAGATGAATTATACCTGTGTCAACCCTCATAATAGACCACAGCAGCTTAGAACTCAGAATCACTACTCAAACCAACCCTTGCATCAATAGAAATGATAGCAACAACATCTTCTCAGTAAAAACACTAACAAAGCTTGAATTAGTGAGTTTTTCTTGCATGGATCATCATGAAACAACCCAAACAAATTTGTTCATTCAAGGCTCTCGAGAGTAATATAGCTGCATCTCACTTTTTCAGAGAATTCATAAGGCTTAAAACCCTAAAATCACTATAACAGTATATTTATAGTGTCACTAAATACACAAGGCCTCATACACCAAGAATGTACACTTGTCACCTTCAGCCAATGATTGTAAAAGGATAATTCAGATATTTTCGTGAGAGAGAACCAATGAAAGCAAGCCACCTCAGCTATTTTGTCACGTTTCACGCTAGAAATTACACCTCACAAGATAAAGCTGTAAATTCCATTATCATCCAGACTTAGCCTCCAAGAAATGAAATATTCTTGCATATACTATCTCTTTAGAACCACTGAGACGTGTCACATTCTTGAGCACAGCTAGAAATGACCAAAATGCTCTTGTAACATATTTTAATCTTCTCAGCAAAGTAAAGGTCCTAAGATTGTATAATTCACACTGTAGGTTCAACCAAGGCAATTCAGTGCAATGCAGCTACCTGAGTATACGTGTACATATAAAATACAGCTGAGAAAAGACCATAATACCCCTGAGACCACCTGTAGCCTATTTTCATATGATGAACCTTACTGAACACAGTAATTAAGCCTGAGCAGACTTCAAGTCAATAATGTACTATTTCAAATCACTACAAACAATGTGTTACACTGGAGTAAAAAACTATACTACCCCTGTATGATAATTCAAGCAATAAAACAATATGAATAAGCCCTCTAAAGCCTCAAATACACAGGTTTTTGACATTAAACAAGCAAACATACTTTAGTAAACTTCAAGGCCAATAGCAACATTCCTCAAGCTTTAGAGCATTAAATAAGTCTAGGTTATGAATTAAAGTATGCTAGATACTCTCATAACTCAAACAATACAAGCACAACATGCAATATATCCTAAAACACAAAGAAAGATCTAGTTTAAGGTTATACTACACTCCCTACCTCACTAGGGAAAGCAACCCTAGAATCCAAGAAGAAAATGTCACAAGTACAAAGTTTTGTTGCAAATGGAGTTCCCAAGCTTTTTCCCTTCTAGAGCTAGCCCAAAAAAGTGGAAGGAAAGTGAAGAAAATGAAGGTATAAGGTGGAGCTCCAATGGAGTTAGAGAGAGAAAGTTAAGAAGAAGAAAAAGATTAGGAGAAATATGTGTAAGTATAAATGATATATATCATAAACACCTACCCTAACACTACCTCTCTCACATACCACCATCCACACCCTCCACTTGTCATCATCTTAGCTCTCCACATGTCACCAATCCCCTTCAACACATGGTCCAATTAAAACAAGACACTTGTCCCAACTTTCCCTTAATTGCACAAAAGACCATCCAAATAATATATCTATAAGATAATCACACCATTGCCCCAAATGAAAATATCTTCAAAAGATATTCACACAAATAACCCCAAAAATAAAAATGTCCCCAAAACATAATCGCACAAATACACCCAAATAACAAGAGTTAAAAATGCTTACAAGTGCAATATAAATCCATAATGACATGAGAATAAAATATGCGAGGATGAAATGAATGAAGTGTTGGAAACCATTCCCGAACACTTGACTCGGTCTTGGGCTCACATGACCCGAAGACGGAAAAGAAATAAAATAAAATAAAATAAACAAAAATGATGAAGAAAGAAAAGAAGATACGGTCATCACAACATTGGTGGTTGAGACCTGGTTCTTTTCAAGGGTAAGATGAGAGCCAAGCATGGTATGGGATTAGGCTAGGTGGTACAGTGGGAGGAGGGAGTGGGGAAGGGAGAGAATGTGATTTGTTCTAACCCATATCTCCTGCTATCTACAGGGAAGGGTGAGATTGACTGGTGATTTATTTACATGAATAACTTGACTGCCCAATTGTAGAGGTTTGGAATGATTATTGCCCTGAGATCGGAAAGAAGATGGAGAAACACAAATATTGGTATGTTTGCATCATCTGGTTAATGACTCCACTGAAGCTTGAGATTCCTTTCTTTTTCCTCAATTGCCAGTCTCATTCTTTTCTCTCTTTTTATTATTTTATTTTATTTTTTTTATTTTTTATTTTTTGCAGCAAGACTTTATTTTCTCAACTACAAGAACCTCTTCTATTTTAAAATATAATATATATATATATATATATATAATGGCAGAGACAACGTGGCGGCCAGATCCGATATATATATAATGTAAGTACAGGTTGCTTAAAATAAATAAATTCTTGAAAATTAGACACAAACCTAAAACTAACTGGCAAATTAACAAGCAATAATTACTAAAACTAAAAATTAAACTTACTTTAAAGAGAACATAAAATCAAAATCAAAAGAAAACAAAAAAGTATATAAAAAAAGAAAAGATTAAGAAAAATAAATAATAGGTACAGACCCTAGCTATGTTTAACTGATTAGGAGTGTGGGTTTTTGGTTCATTAAGAAACTCCAGAGGGATGAATGATGCCACTCTCTCATGCTTGGAAGTTGGCTGCAGCTTCCCCATAGTAGTTGCCTCCTATATAATGCGGTGACAATGGGGGTTTCTTGTCCATCTCTAAATGGGGGGAGAGAGAGACAGAGAGACAAAATTGCAAAATTCAGCCCCTAGCCTAATAACATGGAAATCAAATACTCGCAAAACATATTGAACAACTCGATCAAGTTTATATAGTTTTAGGAAGGAACAAACTTGCAAAGAGGTCATATAGGGACTAGGGTTGACGAGTCTTAGTGCTCTATAGACTTCAAAAGGATCAGCAAATCTTCGGCGTTCAAACCGTTGACTTAATACAACCTGGAAAATATCCCCTGCTAGAGTATGCTCTTTCGCTTGCAGTACTGCATTCTCGTATTCTTCACTTGTCATGTTTGACTTCTTCAATGACGGACCAAATTTACATGCAGATAACTCCACAGTAGCTGAAGGCAACTTTGGCCTAAAAGATGAGAAGTAAAGAAAATAACATATACATAAGCATGAATGACATTACAAAAACCATTACTATGATACAAAAAAGAGTTCAACAGTTACTCACGGATCAATATCCTGTACTTTGGAAACCATTATTTTCAAGCGCTTAATTCCGTCAGCATATGCCTGCTCCTGGGAGTAAATAATTAAACTAATCAAATTCTGCATGTTTGCAAGTAAATTATTCAATAAATAATTTCAACAAATGCATTTACATATATACATAAAGTAAAGCACCTGTGGAGTTGTAGAGGATGCGGTGGCTGAAAGGGGCCTTTCATATCACAAGGAATCAATGGATGCGGGTGAGTTTGTTGCTCACTAGCACAGTGGTTGTAGTGGGCACCAGTGTAAGCACAATTAACGTCCAGGTCAAATTTACATTCGGAACCACCGAAAACGAATCCATCACATCTCATTGAGTAGGCATTGCAGTAAGCTGATTTTTTATCAGAAGAATGAGGATGACTTGCTCCATGAGGTGATTGAGCAAAAAGAGCGAGGGGATGTTCCCTGTGAAACAAATGATTTATTGATTTAACCATTGTAATTGTATTACGTAACAAATCATTTAACAATTAAAACAGTAGTTAATTTTAACAATTATAACAAAGCTTAATTTAATTACAAAAAAGACAGACAAAATAAAAACAATTGGAGTACATCAATAAAACTCATGTATATGGGGAAGGAAAAAAAATACAATGTATAACTCATTTACATCAAAGGAAAAAAGAAGAGTAATATACCTTGCTCAATTCCTTTTTCTCTACTAACAAAGCAAGAAAATCTTTCGAATTTTTAAATAATAAATCTTTTAATTGGACAAGAACAACACAGTTTTGAAAAAGAAATCTATACCCAATTGTTTTTCAATTAATAAAACATATAAACTATAATTGTTTAAGTTGGTTTTAAATAGATACATCGGGTCTAGATAATATGGTTAGTGGCAGGATAACCGTAACATGGAACAAATAATTTAACACTATTAATAGTAATTGGCTAACAATAGAAAAGGACATTCACTACAATTCAAAAGAACATGCACAAAAATTTATCATTTTATGTCTTAGTACACCACGTTGGTCGCATTAATGATGCGTTCAATAGTCTTCCAAAGAAAACAAAAATGATAAGATAAGCATGAATATATTTTGCAACCGTAGACTTGAAAGTGTATAAAACATAATAATTCTACTTATTTTTTTAAATAAAATATTTTAAAATACCAAGATAGAAAAACCAAGGATAAAAAAATTAAAAATTAATGGATCGGCATATGAATAAAAGTAAAGAATTATAAAAATAAAAAATAAAAAACAATAGGAGTATATGAATAAAACTCCTGTATAAGAAGAAAGAAAACAAAAAATTGAAAATGCGCTACTCATTTACATCAACGGAAAAAAGAAGATCAACTTAACCTAAATTCCTTTTTCGCTACCAACAAAGCAATAACAACTTTTGATATGGAGATTCTGCAAAGAAATAAATCAGCCATAACAACTTTCGATATCTCTAAATCATCTTTGGGTACCTGAAAATATGGCAGATGAGACTAAGCCCATTAGGAAAGATCTAACAAGCACCTCTAAGAGGTTTTGTGCACAAGTTCATAACAGCAATGGAAAGGTTCCAATAATTAGAAACATGCTATATATGAAAATTAAGATCACGAGCAAAGTATAAGATGTATAATTTCATGCTTCTTCGGTAAAAGAGTATAGTTTAATGATGATTCCAAATATAGAGCAAGTTCTCAAGATTAGGTCAAAATGTAATGAACATTTAGAACATAACTAAACATTAATCGAGAAGAATTTAAGTAAAATCACTCAAAGGGCTACATATTAGAATAATCTCTACCTCAATTAAACATGAAAGTGAAATGGTGAGACGACGATTGTGATAACGATAATCTACAGATTTCCCGTTTCCTTGTCTTCCTCTTCCTCTTCTTTTTCTTCTTCTTCTTCTCTCTCTCTCTAGTAGTTGAACCCCTCTATCTCTTTCTCGGTTCTCTCTTCACTCTCTGCTTTTCTTGTATTCCTCTTTCTCATATGATGCATATAAGTACATGAGAAATAACAACAGGTGTAGTGGTGTGGTAGACACGTGTCTAAGTGCATGAGGAAAGAGTTTATGATCAAGACAACTGTCCCCTTGTTGACACGGAGATGCCACCTCACAATCTACTACATCTTCCACAAATTCTACAATCTCGACAATTAATTAGATAGTCCACAATAGCCTCTAATATAACTCCTAAGAATGTATACAAATCACACTTGTGCCCCACAATTCTAGCAAATGATTAAAAAAAATCCCAAATAAAGTCACTTAACGATTTAAAACCTAATTCAAAATCAGGGGTGTTACATTTTTGCCGCTCCTTTCTCTCTCTCTCTCTCCCTCTAGATATATATACACACACACAACAATTTCTATTATATATATAACAATTATATTTAAGAACAAATTATTTAACACTTGTAATTGCATTATGGTCCAAATAATTTAACACTTGTAACAATGGTTAATTTAATTACAAAAAAGAAAACTCCAATACAAATATTACTTATGCCTAAAGGCCACGTTTATCGCATTGATGATCCATTTAATGTTATGATATAGATGAAAAAATTGAGAAGTTAAGCATAAATGTATTGCATAATCAATAATGTTATTAATAACTTTATCAATGTAAGAGTTATTGTGAAAGTTATTTTGTTCTCTCCTTGGAAAGAACTCTTCAATAATGTCCAAGAGCTTTGGCAATTTTAAATTTTAAAATTACGTACTTTGGCAATTTTAAATTTTAAAATTACGTAACATGTAAATCTTATGACTTTTTTAGAGGGATATATTTTAGAAATTAGGGTATGAATAGTTCCAAAAAGAGTAGGAAAAGTGGTCATCTCACTTAATCAACTTATTATTGCAGTCAATCTACAATGTTTTCTTTCCTTCAATCATGTACAAAGTTTGTTATAGCATATCTAAATTTAATGGCAATATGAGTTGTGAAAAACTTCATTAATCATTTTTAACATATATTAAGAAAAGAATTGTAATAAAATGTAATGAAATCTTTGATGAAAAAGATCTAAGAGAGAGAAGAGAAGTCAAGGATAAAAACAGTAAGAGTTAATGGATGGGTATATGAATAAAACTAAAGAATTATAAAAATAAAAACAATAAGGAGTACATGAATATAATCGTTTGTATGAGAAAAGTAAATAAAAAATAAAAAATTTACATTGCACAACTCATCTACATCCAAGGAAAAAAGAAGAGCAACTTACCTTGTTTAATTCCTTTTCTCGACCTACAAAGCAAGAAATATTTTTCGAATTTTAAATGGTAGTAATCTTTTCAATTTGGACAAAAACAATGCATTTTTGAAAAAGAAAAACTCAGTTTTTTCTTCAACTTTTACGGTCTTGTTGAGTTCAAGATATATAAACTAAACCTTTTTAAGTTGGTATTAAATAATACATCGAGGTGCCAAATAATGTGCCGGTTAGTGGCACGATAACCGCATTTTCCACACAATCATATTTAGAATTACATTAAATCATGCATATCACATATAATCAAATAATAATGGATATAATATAATTCTACTCAATCATATACATATATATATATATATACATATATATATATATATATATTACTTATTAGTTAACATTTATTTTTGGGAAAAGTGCAAAAAACCCCCCTGCACTATTAGGGTTGTGCAACTAACTCCCTTGAACTACATAAAAACCCCTTCAACTAACAAATTTTTGCATTTAACCCCCTTAACTAACAATAGGGTGCCGGAAAAGCCAAAAGACCACATTACCCTCAATTAAAACGACATAGTTTGAAGAATTATACAAGCATTGATATATATATATATATAGAGAGAGAGAGAGAGAGAATTATACAAGCATTGATATATATATATATATATAGATAGAGAGAGAGAGAGAGAGAGAGAGAAGAAGAAGGGAGAGATGAGGAGAGAAGACGGTGATGTGATGGCTCGGCCGTGGATGATGGCGACGGCGATGTGATGGCTCGGCCGTGGATGATGGCGACGGCGACGAGCTCGGCAGGATTGAATCGACTGTGGATGATGGATTGAATCGGTCGTGGAAGAACTGCGGCAGTGAGCTCGCTAGTTGAAGTGGCGGCAGCGGCGGTGGTTGGCTGTGATAAGGAACTGCTGCTCAGATGGTGGAAAGCTCGACTATGGCCGACGAGCAAGGGGGCTTCGGACTGAGGCCGGCGAGCAAGAGAAGCTCAGCTAGCGCAGCGGTGGACAGCCCCATCAGGTCCGGTGTCTAGTTCAGACCCTATACTTCCGACGTACTCAATTTCAGGTCCGGCTAAGCTTCATTCTATCAAAACAGTTCGGTGAGCTTCATTCTAATCATCACCAACCAAACCATTGATATCGGCCACCGTCGAGGTTCAAAGACCAAACCAAAAGCTACGGCAGCTCTGGCCACAGCTTACATCATCCACAACCTCCGGTGAGCTTCCCTATATTTCAGAACTGAGTATTTCAGTCCGGTGAAGATGCTACATCAATCAACTGTTCCGGCGATAGCTCAAATCAATGAGACCCAAAACTGAAAGCTCTGAGCTTGCATTCAAGTTCCGGTGACCAAGGCTTTACACCTTTTTATTTGGCACACCAGAGACAGAAGGAAGAGCTAGAGCGACCAGAGCACTTGGTACCGTATCACACCGAGATACAATGAGCAACCAGATTGCCGCCTTTCGACCGGGTTTCATCACTCCTTTAGGCAAAAATAAAGCAAGAAAGAGAGAAGTTCCGTCTAGAGAGAGCAATTGGTCTTTTGCGCTTGGAAACTCAAATAATTCACACTGAACCACACACCACTAATCGTCAAACCCAATTGAAACCACAAACCCTCCACTGCTGTTAATCTCAGATCAGGAATGAAGAAGATGATGTTCGCACGAATTGCTCCGGCGTATTTTCAGAAACCCTTTTAATTGATGGCCATCACACTTTACGGATGAAAGATAGAATTTGATAGCCACTGTACGGATGAAAGATTCTAGGCATACCCCTTCATCAGCAGTGGATAGCAGCTTGTACTGGTTTAGTGTTTCTTCATCATCTCGACCTTATGGATGGTGTTTTTTTTATTTTTTAAGGGGTTAGGGATTGTTTGGTGGGTATTGGACTATTGGAAATCCAACCCCTCCTCCGACCTCAACCCGTCGCCGTCGCCAGAACAGCACCACCACTTCCATCTCTTTCTCCCTCAATCCCCTGTCGCAGAAGGGCATTATTGTCTGAAAAATAAAGTTTGTTTATCGCGTGACAATCACGCGCTCATTTTTGGACGGTCGGTGGCCGGATGGAGTGATCTGCAACAAATTTGTATAGTTTAGGGGTCTTTTTGCAATTTTGATAGTTTAGGGGGTTAGTTGCAAGTTTCCCAATAGTTCAGGGGGTTTTTTTGCACTTTTCCCTTTATTTTTTTGTATCTTAAGTAGAAGCATATAATAGAAACAACGCAAGAAATAACTTTTTTTTTTTTTTTTTCCTAGTTGGTACTCATATACATGTCTCTTCTGAGACTTGAACACTTGACCTCCCTTTGGGAAGTAAGAGGCTGATACCGCTAGACTACTAACCTGTTGATGCAAGAAATAAATTGTCTTAAGCTTTTTGAAAAATATATGTTTTGCATGGTAGTTAAGATAAATAAATAGTATACTAATATGCATATGAGATAATTAATAATATGCTAAAAATAATTAATTAAATATTCAACTCAAATATTTAATCAATCTGCAAAAAATAATAATAACAAATAATTAAATAAAGAACCTGGGTCGAGACTAGCATTTAATACTATGTCTTTAAGACAATTTATGCCCCGCGTAGTGTTGACGGTGTCACACCCCAAAATTACTTCCTTCCTGATCAATAATATAAACCACAAGCACGTAAAAGCCTAGGTCCAAATACAACTATTTATACCTTTGAGTCAACGAGTTACCAAAGTTCCATAGCGTATCAATATGAACCAAAACATAAATATAGTAACTAATTTTATACACTAAATATCTCGTTAAATAATCTATCTCCAATAAATAATGATATGCGTAACTATGTAATCACTGTCAAGTACTAACTATATCTCCTACCCCTCAATCCATCATGGGCTTCTATAGGATACGATAGTCCCATTTGCTAATTTGAGTCTCACAGAACCAAAAATTACTTGGCCCTTTAGATATCTAATGCAAATGAGAACATTGTGTTTCACATATGATTTGAAGGGTATGTGATGATTTCAACAATTTACTTACTTTTATATTTCCATCTGGTAATTTCCCGTATTGCTGTGCCAAATGCCATGTAAAAAATTTACCCAAAAAAAAAAAAAAAAAAAAAGAAAAGAAAAAAAGCTGATTCAATTTACAGTGACCTATAGTCACCCCTTAACTAGATGTAGCAGGTTATTCTCTTTATAAGAGCAGTAAAGACTAAAGAGAACTAAGCAATTTATCACGGGATCTATATCAAATTGATCTCACAAAAGATAAAAAAGATAATTACCTGGAGAATTCCAACAACATCAAATTTGTCAATTATTGTCATCGACTGCACTTGGTGCAAATTAGGAAGTGTTAACAATAATTCCACGTTCTGCAAAAAATCATTAGCTTTATAATAATTGGACATTGGTGTCCCTAGTATCAAATAAAACTAATAAACAATGAATTGGTGCATGTATGATTCTTTGTAAATCATACAAAGAATCTGTTATGACAAACGCAGCGAACCCAAGATAGAATCAAGAATCACAACAAAAAAGTAAACACACCACACAAAGAACACAAAGATTTATACGTGGCTTGGCAACACCCTACGTCCACAGTGGAGATCCGGCAAAAGTTTCACTATATGTAAAGTCGGAGATTATAAATTTTCAGCCCCTCACTCTGTTTCTATACGAATTTCAAATTCTCTCTTACACCAGTCCAAACACCAAACACCCTTATATATCGGGCTACGAGAGACTAATTAGGGTCCATGACCCATGAGCAAAAAACCGGGTCAAAACTTTTCCTTGGGCCCAAGCCCCCTAACCCCCAGAGCTTTGATGGGCTTAGGCCCACACAAAGCTTATCCAACGGGTCGTGAGCGATCACAACGCGACCCGGCACGAAATTCTGGCCACAACATCACAGAATCACTTTTGTGGTCCCACACGTGTTTCAATTTTAATTATGAGAGTGACGATAAGATTTCAATACTTTACCTGGATACTCTAAAAGCTTAAGCTATTAGAGAGGGTATAACTTTAAATCCTTCAAAATTCTAACTGGTGCAAGGCCTAAGCTGGGATTCTGACAGCCTCTTATATATCATCAAAACAATAACAACACACACATTGCAAGAAAATAACAAGGAAAAAAAAAATTCTCATTTTTGTTAATTTTAATCGGAAAATTGAACGTTTGGCATAGCCACATAGGATATCTTCCAGGAGTTCATAATTTGATTTATTTAGTTAAATATATTTTTTTCAAGTATACAGTTATTCCCCTATAACAAGGATTATTATTTACCCATATCAAAATTCTCAAACATAGCAAGAAGAACAACTCACCTTCGACGCGAAGCAATCATCTCAAAAAGTATACCTCAAACCTTCAAGTTTTCCCATTTTACAGAGGTCATCAATGAAGAGCCTCACTTGCACACCCTGATCAGCAAAATAGATGAGGACGCTCATAAGGACTGTTTCTTTGTCTATCAAAAATGTCACCCACCAGAGAAAGTTTAGAGATCTGCATCCAAACGCAAGACTGGTTGATAATAATCCAAGAACCCAGCCACTTTCAAGAAGACTGGTTGATAATAATCCAAGAACCCAGCCACTTTCAAGAAGACAAGTATAAAGGGAAATTTGGTCCATTTAGAGAGAAATGAAAATAACCTCAAAGCACACGGTTTGTATCCAATACGAGAAGACAATAAAAGGAACATTTGAAATAGTCCATCCATCAAGTACTTTCAATATATTACCAGAATCTGCCTGCCAGTCTGATGGCACAATTCCACTTTTCAACCTCCAAAGTCTCCCATCTCAATAGACCCTCTACTTCATGAATCTAATATTTTCAATCTCAACTTTCTTCAATTCCATATCTTTTATCTTTTTCAACCAGTTCCATGTTCTGCTTCATATCTGTTATAAGTTTTTGAATTTTTAAATCAAATGTATCATCTCCACAAATTCTTTAAAGCCACTTCAAATTTAAACCCATGTTTTCAGCCTCTTTCACAGTGCAATAGTAGATTTTCAAGTCATAATATATTGAGAATCCTTAGGCAACTTCATGTGAAGCCTTTTAGGATGGAGGACCAAAATATTCATGACTTCAACATTCTTCTCTAAGACCCCATTGAAGCAGCAATTGCATATCATCTCTAACCACAGCAGCCTCCATGAACAAATAGGCCACCTTAATAGGCCAACCTAAGGCATATGGCTATCCATTGTTGCTTGTTACTTGCACACTAGTTTCAAATATGATTGAATAGACTTGCCAGATTGATCGAGGAGCAACTGTCTCTTTACGAATATTGAGTGTCTTGATTTGTCGCACTAGAACAAAGATCATTTCCCAGTGTTTAGACTGAAAAAATGTGCAGCTGCTCTTACCCCGATTTTAATACAAATAATGTGGTAAACAATCCATGATGACACTGAAGATATCAACCCCAAAAAAAATCATTGACAGTTGAATGAAGATAATAGAAGTTAAATCCATACAAAACAATCATACACTACCATAGATTATCCGAGTAAACTCTATCTGGACATTAGTGGACAATCTTTGCAATATCCCCGTGCTTGTTGATTGTTGCTGTTGAGGTCAGTCAGTTCTATCCGGACATTAGTGGACAATCTTTGCAATATCCCCGTGCTTATTGATTGTTGCTCGGAGGATCGGGGCTAGACTCTGTTCACAGTTGTGCCACTAGATTGGTAACTGTCGCTTGTATCATCAATCCAAAGCACACTGAGGAGGACCACTGACCATTGTTTTTTCCTTTTCTTGGTAGCATCAACCAATTCCATGTTCTGCTTCATATCTGTTATAAGTTTTTGCATTTTTAAATCAAATGTATCATCTCCACGAATTCATTAAAGCCACTTCAAATATAAACCCATGTTTCTTGAAGATTGCTTGATGGGTAGGAGTAGCGTAAACCTTTTTTTTTTTAATCACCAACCAAACAGAACAGAGCAACAATGAAGTGGCTAAAGAGCCAGAAACAAAAGGAATGAAACAGTCCAAATACATTATGCGAGTAAACACTTCTTGCTCTCAAATAGCCATACAAGTGTCTGCTGTTGAGTTCAGCCAGCTCTACCCAGACTTTAGTGGGAAATCTTTTGCAATACCCCCATGCTTGTTCATTATTGCTTGGACAATCAGGGCTAGACTCTGGTTTGTGCCACTTGATTGGTAGCTCTCACTTGTATCATCAAAAACACACTGAGGAGCACTTACCATTGTTTGAGCTTCATGCATGGGAGAGTGTTGGTTGTTACTTGGATTTCTTGAGCACAAGTAGTACTTGGCTGATCAGTGACATCTTGGGCTCTCTCTTCACTTTCCAGTTATGCTGTTTCTTCTGGAGAATGACTGGTGAGCTACTTGCATGAATAAATTAATTGTCAAATTGTAGAGGTTCTGATTGATTATTGCCCTCGGATCTGAGAGATGGAGAAATACGACTATTGGTCTCTTTGCATGACCTGGTTAATGACTCCACTAAGCTTGAGCTTCCTTTCTTATTCCGAGTTGTCTGTCAAAGAATAAACCAACCTGTAATCATCTAGAGTAAAACTGCAAAAAAGTCACCAATCCAGAGGATGATGAATAGGGATACTCGTTAAACGCACAAGAATCAGACACTGAAAGACTAAAATATGAACAATGATTAAAAAAATTGGCCTAGGCTATAATTTCACAGATATAAAATCTCACGTCTAACACATCTTTTAGCAAACACCACGTACGTTTCAGAAACAAAGTCCACAAAATAAGTTTTAACATATTTCCTTTTGTTGAAGCAAGACTTCTTTATCGAAGTTTAAATACTACTGCTACAGCACTTGTATACCAAAGTAAAATCTTTAGCACCAGTGTTAATAAACCTGAACAAAAGAACACGTCAATGAATCAAGTGACAATATGACTCCAAGAGAAAATGCACATCATTAAAACTTATTATGCTGCATTAGTATTACATTAGAAGAAGCAATAGTTAAAAGTCATGGCTGATTAGACACTTCATTTACCCTTTTGGGAGTAATTGGGGTCTACTTCACCAATTAAACACATTTTATGCCAAAAGAACACAACAACAAAGGGGAACATTTGTAATTGTGATGGAAAAGTTACTGTCACAAAAAATTTATTTTAGCGGCGTTAATTGTCAATGGGTGTTAACCAAATATGAAAGGATATGATAATAGCCAACCGCTAAAAGTCTTGCCGAATAGGTACCTTTTAAAGTGTAGGGTTGCTAGTTGTTTCAGGAGGTGGAGACAACGTGGCGGCTAGATCCTGTAAAGATATATATATATATATATATATATATATATATATATATATTTATATATATATATATATAAGTACCGGTTGCATTAAATAAATAAATTCTTGAGAATTAGACACAAACTCAAAACTAACTGGCAAATTATCAAGCAATTAATTACTAAAGCTAAAAATTAAAATTACTTTAAATAGAACAGAAATCGGAATAAAATTATACAAATAAAAAATAAAAAAAATAAAAAAAAAGTAAAAAAAAAAAAAGAGGAAAATAAATAATAGGTGCAGACCAACCTAGCTATGTTTGCCTGAATGGGAGTGAGGGTTTCTGGCTCATGATGAAACTCCAAAGGGAAGAATGATGCCACTTTCTTATGCTAGGAAGTTGGCAGTAGCTTCTCCACAGTAGTTTTCTTCCCTTGAAGGTTCTTGTGTCCATCTCTCAATGGAGAGAGAGAGAGAAAGGGAGCCTACGGCATGCTCGGGCATTTCTCCTACATGAAGGTCCAGCTTCACCTTGGGGTTTTCTACCAGGTCTTTTTCTTGTCTGTGAGAACTCTATCTCTAATTCTACTTGGATCTGTTTTGAGAGTTTGAAAGACCCTCTTAAATAGCTCATGCATAGCACGGGCCTGAAAGTCATAAGATTTTCATTCAATTAAAAGAAATAAACTGAATATTCCTTTATATACAGAAAATTTAGAAGATAATTTTCTTAATCACTCGATCTCATAAAATAGACGAACAAAGCACGAGCAGACTGCTAGCTTATAGCTTAAAAAACAACATAATAAGCATCCATATAAGAAAAAGTAATGAGAAACCTTTCCGACATCATTCCGTCCTAACTCAACCAACAAAATGTGTTTTGCACACTGTTTTTGAGCGTTTAGCTGCTGCATTTCCATCCCTTCAACCAACTGTCGATTAAGGATCTTCCCGTCAATGAGAAGGGTACACATCCTTGTTAGTCAGTATCTCACAATAAAAAATTTACACATGAGAATTTGAAAATGAATTGTTTACCACATAAAAATTTTACACATGAGAATTTGCAAATGCCCAAAGCTTGCAAACATTCTAAGCCAAGAAAGGCTGACCTAAGTTTTCTAGGAACCTCATATGAAAGTAATTAAGAGCAATCATTTAATAGTTTACATTCTTTACACGCGTAATAATCTCTGGGCTTGAAGCAACTAGAATACACCCCCGGGCCTAATAACATGGAAATCAAAATTAAAATTAAGATTTTGATTTAATACTCCCAAAATACATTGAACAATTGGATGAACTCAGACAGTTTTAGATAGGTTTAGGTAGATAATACATGCACTGGGATTTATGACTCTCAATGCACATTAGACATAATTCTGTTTTGTGTTATATAAAAAATAAATTAAAAAATTTGAAGAGCCACAGTGAAATTTAATGCGTTTCACAAGTTCATGTCAATTGTCATTGTCTGCAAATATCAACCCTATCAAAGCACGACTTGGAGGAAAAAATTGAAATATTACCATTCAATTGGTGAAAATGGAAGTATTAATTGAAATTTGGGTCCACGCCCAAATCACATTTCATAGCAAATTCCAATGTACAAACACAAATTGGCTTGATATATAGGATGGTTAATATAACATGCCCAATTACTCATATATGAAATTAATCTCTAAAAGGCAAAAAATACACTTAAATTTACTGATTAATATTTGTCCCACTAATTATTTATCGTCAAAATAAATCCCATTTCATTAAGCAAATCAAATTTTGTATGTATGAGAGGGAGGAGTAGAAGAACCAGCAGCCACCTCGTCGAGCCTTTTCTTCTCGCAGCCCGAGCCCGCCAAGACTGGAGGTCGGAGACGCGGCAGAGGCGGTGGTGGAGGTGGTGTTGTATTCCGCTGGGAAGAGCTTCTTCTACTACTTTGTCACGTTGTTCTCTCTTCTTGTCTTTCTCGGAAAAGACTAGCAACAAAATCCCTATGATTTTTAATTAAGTTCTTTTTTATATAATTTCTCTCTTATACTATTTGAGTACTATTTTTTTTATTTTACCTTTGACATTATTATTTTATTTTGATGTGTCTATATGGTATTTACTATTATTGGTTTAGGAAAAGTATGAAATCGTACAGTTAATATGTGGAGCAGGGATCCAATCATAGTTAGTAAAATACAGTACGGAAAAAATACGAGTTCGAAAACGTATAAGTATAATTCGATATTTTTTTAAAATACGTTTAAAAAATTTGGCAAAAAAATACAGACACGTAAAAATATGAATATGGATACATACGTGTATAATACGTTATATATTCTAAAAATTCGGCTATACATATCTTATTATTTTCTTTTATATATATATATATATATATATATATATATATATATATATATATTTGTAAGGATAATAAAGAATATGTAACAAATAATGAAATAAATATATTACAATTAATACTATCACAATAATCATAAAAAAAAAATTATAAGTATATAACGTAATATTCTACTAAAACATCTAGGGAGTGTGGTGATCTACAAACTTCTAAAATAATAATAATAATAAAGATATTAACAAAATTTAAAAGATCTCACAACAAAACAAAAATCTATAAATATCTACAAACATCAATAAAAACTTATAATTCTTCAAGATTATAGTGTTCCATAAATATATATATATATATTTCATTGCTTTGATTAAATATCATAATTGGAGTGACAACAATAAGAAATTGCACAACAAATAACATTATTTTGATGGATGGCTATACCAAGCAAAAGAAGGTAGAAAACACAATAGTTTGCACAACAAATAACATTATTTTGATGGTTTAAAAAATAATGGCTCTACCAAGTAAAAGAGGGTAGAAAAGATAATATTTTATATTTTAGAAAAATACGCTATTAGAAATGTGAATTTTGTAAACAAAAAAAATAATAATTAGGTTACGAATTAAACGGAGTAACCAAAACGAATAAACGCATTAGATACGGGGTGATGAAAAAAAACGCGTATTTTACCGTATCTTTCAACTCTAATCGGCAAACGAAAATATTTTTTCAAAATTCGTACGTACGCGTTTAATTCCCGTATCATACGCGAATTAACTAACTTAGGATCCAATTAATCAATTTGATTAAGGACATGTAGTCCATTGATAAATTTGTCCAATTTAGGGTTTTTAATTAAAAAAAAAAAAAATTACTTTTTTTAAATAGTCTTTTTGTATCCTATTTGGATGTGATTCTATTGATATACCTTTGCCATTATTTATTATATTTACATAATGAAATTTGAGTGATTCTTATTCAATTTAGAGTATTAATAGAATTTATGTATAAATTTATATAATATTATTATGAGTAAAGTGAAATAAACCCCCCTTTCAACTATACCTCAATAAGCAAAAAAACCCCTTGAATTTTTAAAGTAGCAGAAACCCCCCCTATACTTGGTTGTCTGGTTGCAACTAACCCATCCCGATGGGCCGATCATTTTTTAAGGTTTGTCGGGCACGTGATTAGGAATATTTGATTAAAAGACCATACAGCCCTTATGGAATGTAAAAGACCAAACAGCCTTTGGTTGGTCACTCAATAGTCCAATACCCACCAAACAATCCCTAACGCCTTAAAAAAAACAAAACAAAGAAACACCATAGATCAGGTAAGGATGAAGAAGACGATGTTCGCATCCACCGTCGACATGCTCGGTTCTCTCATCGACCGACGATGTGCTCAGTCAAACCCGATACAGCGCTTGGAAACTCAAATTATTCCCCCCACATGCACCATAAAACCTAATTGAAACCACAAACCCACTGCCACAACCACCATCACCGTCGATCAGGTTGGGGATAAAGAAGATGATGTTCGCGTCGACTGAGTGCTCCAATTCCGCGCTTGGAAACTCAAATAATTCACACCGAATCACACACCATAAGCCGTTAAACCCAATTGAAGCCACCACAAACCCTCCACCACCGTCAATCTCAGATCGGAAATGAAGAAGATGATGTTCGTATCGCCCGATTACCTGCTCAGTCAAACCCGATACAACCCTTGGAAATAATTCATACCGAACCTCACCGTACACCGTCAAACCCAATTGAAACCACAAACCCACTACCACAACCACCATCACCGCCACCACCATTTGCCACGACCTTCTCTCTCTATTGCCACAAACCCACTGCCATAACCACAAACCCTCCACCACCGTCAATCTCTCCATCTCTTTGAGCGAGACTATGATAAAAATAAAAAAATAAAAAAAAACAACAAAACCAATGGCAGACACATTGTAATAGAGACTCCGAAACCCAATTTCTCACCGAACTCTTCTCTGCACCGCCGGTCCGTCATAGCCGCTGCACCACCCACCAATTCCACCGGCCGAGCCCGTCCTCACTACCGTCCGTCCTCTCCACCGCCAAGTTCATCCTCACCGAAGCTCTCCACCTTGCTCCCGCCAAGTCTCCAAGGCCAATCCCGTCGCCCACTGCTGGGCCATTCCTCCACCGTCTGCTAACTGCCATCGCCACCGCTGGGCTGTTCGCTGCCGCCGCCGATCTGAACTAGCTCGTCGCCCATCGCTGTGCCAGTTTTGTCTCCTTCCCGAGCTCAACCCCCGTAGTTGCCGCCATACCACCACCACCACTAAATCCATCTCCTCTGCCATGATGCCTCTCTGGCTCTCTCGTCTCTTCTTTAAGTTCTCTCTCTTAGCTTGCTGTGGCTTGGGTTATGTTTGGTGAACGTACAATAGACGGTAAGTAAGTTAAACGACGTAGTCTTCTACAAGGGTAAACTGGTCTACCACTTTTTCTGGCGCCGGAAGTTGACGTGGTGGGGTAAAATAAAACAAAATAATAATTTAGGGAGGTTTTTAGCAAAACCCCAATAGTTTAAGGGGGTTTATTACATTTTACCCTATTATTATTATTAAGAAACTTCTCATTGATATCAAATACCCTATTATTATTAAGAAACTTCTCATTTATATCAAATTTCTAATTTTATGATTTATAAATATAATATAAACTTTAATATTGTATTTAATTTTTTTTTACATTGATTTTTACTATGTACATTTTTACTAGTATTGTTAAATAGACGACAAAAATGATAAGATAAGCACAAATTTATTACAAAGACCCAAAAATGATACGATAATCACATATTTATTGCATAATATACATCAAAGTAAAAAAGAAGAGCAATTTACCTTGTTCAATTCTTTTTTCTTTACAAACAAAGCAAGAAAACATTTCAAATTTTACATGAAGATCCAGCTTTCCTACCTTTTTACACGTTTCAGAAATTCTGGGCTTGAAGCCACCAAAATACAGCCCCTAGCCTAATAACATGGAATTCAAGTACTCGCAAAACATATTGAACAACTGGATGAAGTTTATATAGTTTTAGGAACAAACTTGCAAATAAGTCCTATAAAGACTAGGGTTGACTACTCTTAGTGCTCTGTAGACTTCAAAAGGATCAGCAAATGTTCGGCGTTCAAATGGTTGACTTAATATGGAAAATATCCATGAAAAATATCCCCGGCTAGAATATGCTCTTTTACTTGCAGTACTGCATTCTTGTATTCTTCACTTGTGACTAGGGTTGACGACTCTTAGTGCTCTGTAGACTTCAAAAGGATCAGCAAATGTTCGGTGATCAAACCGTTGACTTAATACAACCTGGAAAATATCCCTTGTTAGAATATGCTCTTTCGCTTGCCGTACTGCATTCTTGTATTCTTCACTTGTGGCTAGGGTTGACGACTCTTAGTGCTCTATAGACTTAAGACGTTCAAACCGTTGACTTAATACAACCCGGAAAATATTCCCTGCTAGAATATGTTCTTTTGCTTGCAGTACGACTTCTTCAATGATGGACCAAATTTACGTGCAGATAACTCCACGTGGCCTAAAAGATGAGAAGCAAAGAAAATAACATATAAGCATGAATGCTGTAATACAAAGTTACTCACGAATGAATATCCTGTAATTTTGAAGCCATTATTTTCAGGCGCTTAATTCCGTCAACATATGCCTCCTGGGAGTAAATAATTAAACTAATCAAATTCTGCATGTTTGCAAGTAAATTATTCAATAAATAATTTCAAAAAAATGCATATATATATATATATATATATATATATATATATATATATAAAGTAAAACACATGTGGAGTTGTACGAGAAATAGAAGAAGAGGATGCGGTGGTTGAAAGGGGTCTTTCATATCACAAGGAATCAATGGATGCGTGAGTTTGTTGCTCACTTGCACAGTGGTTGTAGTGGGCACCAGTGTAGCACAATTAACGTCTAGATCAAATTTACATTCGTAACCAACGAAAACAAACCCGTCACATCTCATCGAGTAGGCATTGCAGTAAGCTGATTTTTTATCTGAGGATGACTTGCTTTATGAGGTGATTGAGCGAAAAGAGCGAGGGGATGTTCCCTGTGAAACAAATGATTTATTGATTTAACCATTGTAATTGTATTACGTAACAAATCATTTAACAATTAAAACAGTAGTTAATTTTAACAATTATAACAGTGCTTAATTTAATTACAAAAAAAATAGACAAAACAAAAACAACTGGAGTACATGAAAAAAACTCATGTATATGGGGAAAGAAAAAAAGTACAATGTCACTAATTTACATCAAAGGAACAAAGAAGAGTAATATACCTTGCTCAATTCCTTTTTCTCTAACAAAGCAAGAAAATCTTTCAAAATTTTAAATAATAATTCTTTTAATTAGACAAGAACAACACAGTTTTGAAAAAGAAATATATACCCAATTGTTTTTCAAATAATAAAACATATAAACTATAACTGTTTAAGTTGGTTTTAAATAAATACATCGAGGTCCAGATAATATGGTTAGTGGCAGGATAATCGTAACAATGAACAAATAATTTAACACTTTTAATAGTAATTGGCTAACAATAGAAAAGGACATGCACTACAATCCAAAAGAACATGCACTATAATTTATCATTTTATGTCTTAGGACACCACGTTGGTCGCATTAATGATACTTTCAATAGTCTTCCAAAGACAACAAAAATGATAAGATAAGGGCCTGTTTGGGGGATGCTCCATCTTGTTCGATGCCCTTCCCTACAGTGCAAATGGATATTATTGAGGACACCAACTTGTTTGGTATGGGCTGTATTGTGTCCAACAGTGCTAGAACAATTTCAGTTTTTGGGCCAATTTCCGGAACAAAAAAATCACGTTCCAAAGTGTTCCCAAATTATGGTTGGCCCACTATTCACTGTAGAATGGAGAACAACAGCCCAAAAACAAGGAATCCGCAGAACACAATGTAAAGAATCGGTCCATCTTTATCTAGGGTTCTCTCTACACGACTGAGGCGATTCACAGTGTACCCTTTTGTGTCTGAAGCTTTCCGAGATCTAGGGTTGAAATCGACACCATTGATGTAAATACGAAGCTTCTCGGCAACGTCTTCTTCTCACCGGTGAGTTCCAAACCTGCATCTTCTTCATAAATGGAGTCATTCTGTTCTGTCTAAATTTAGTCACATGTATAATGAAGATCCTTGTTCTCGGTGTTCCACTGTATATGCAGATCTGAAGATAAACTTCCCCTTTGTGACCTCTGCGTTTTTCGGCGAACCAAGCTTCGCCGCTACTCTCTGCACTCTCGGATTCACAGGCGATTTTCGGTCTATTTACCTTCATCATCGACACCAAGTGAGTTAATTTTTTGTTTGCTTGAAAAAAAAAAATTAATTATGAAGACCTTGTTGCTTGATTTGTTGAGGAATGCTCTCTTGTATCTCTATTTATGGTGTACTGTGGCTTCGCCGGACCATCAAACTGCCAAGCCTCTTGTATCAAGCTTCTAACTTGCTTTGATTTTGTAATTTGTCTGTCAATTAAAATGTTCAGTAATGGGAATTTTGTGATGGAATGTTCAAAAAATTCACAGTGGACTGAAGGAAAGGGTTTTAATTGCAACCCGGTGACACTGTTAGATCCTGTGTGCATTGTATATATATACATATATTAAATAGACATATATATATATATATATATATATATAATTAATTATATATAGGCATAGCCACTGTGTGCATTTTTTTGTTAAATTGATGCATCTTTGTGATCAATGATCCTGTGTGCAGGTAGAGTTGATATATATATATATGGATGTTGTTAATGATATAAAAACAAGTATTTTTCAGTGATTATTTTTTGAATACTTGAATACTTGATATAAAAACTTGTTGTCTTCCAGCGATTCTATCACGTTAATCACGCGACCTCATGCTCTTCAGTTCTTGATATGAGCCACACATATTCCTATCTCTATACTCGACATATATCATTCAACAAAACAGTTGTGAAATGTCAGAACAAGTGTGTTCAATTGTGTAATTATTTTAGTAAGAAGAATTTACTGACCCACAATAAAAGATGAGATGTTATCATGGACTAACCTCGCAAAAAAGAAAAAAGTTACCATTCTTAATTAGTGGACAAAACACATATGATTAATAATTGTAAAACTTTTGACAAGGTCATAAAGACAAAACTATAGAGGACCTGGGGATAAAGAAATGTTTGATTACAAATAAGGAATGAACTGAAATAAGGAGTATGAAAAACAAGAAAATAGATCTAACCCCTTGTATAATGTTTTGGGATTCTATCTTATACACTTTAACAATGAAAGATCAAATAATCAAAGGGCTTTTGGACTAGTTGTATAACTTGAGGTTCGAGCCTGGGCCTAGACAAAAAGGCGTATATGTTTGCTTTAACGTTGAGATAAATATGAAAGAAAAATGGTAAATCCGATGACATCATTCCCAACTTACGTGAGTATAATAGGATGTGTCTAATTATCGGACTATGTAAGTAAAACAACTCAAATTGTTTTTGCATTTAATGGCGTGATTATAATTGTGTAGTTAAGACGATGTTATTGGCTAAGATTATGGTTGTTAATGACCCTTTTAACACATTTTTATTAAAACTATGTAATTAGATGGATATCAATGCTGACAATGTTTGCTGACAATGCTGACAATGTTTGAAAAATTATATGGTTGGATGACATGCACCAACGTCTGCAAGTGAGTGGTCATGTGCAGGAAGAGTTGGAGGATGTAGTTGCTGTTATGCAAGCTCAACAAAATCGGCAAAACTACATTATCTATGAATGTTGTTGTTGTCTTACTATAACTATATTCTTGTTGTTTTTGCTCATATTGTTGTTGTTTATTATTGTGGCTGTTGACAAATGATGTAATATTGAAAGTTTAATTTTATTTCATGAACTTTTATTGGCATTGTTGACGAATGCTGTAATATTTTTGATACTCATGTAAGTAATATATTAAAATTTGTAATACCCCGTAATTTTAAAGAATGTATTTAAATTAATTTTGTGTTAGGTTAATTAATTTTATTTATTTGTGCATACTACATTATTATATTATGTTCATTTAATTGTGCATGTAAAGTAATTGTGTATGTTAAAATAGTAAATTTATTCATTTAATTATGCATGTATTATTAATAATAATTTTATTTGTTGGTTATGCTTATATTAATCATTATTAGCTAATTAAAGTATTATATTTGTGTTATATAGTATTATGATGTTATAATGTATTCTTTTGTAATAATAATAATTATATTAGTTTAATAATAATAATAAAAAAATAATAATATAATAATCATATAATAATAAAAGTTTATTAATAATAATATTAGTAATAATAATAATAATAGTTATAATAAATCAATGTAATGATGGAAAATTAAATACTAGGATAGAATTTCATTTACTATGGTAGAATGGTGGATCAAATATCTTGATTAAAGATAGCATTGTCTTAAAGCCATATAGGTAGGAATATGAGAAATGGGTGAGAAGTTATTATAAATTAGATATTTGTAATATTTATATTATATATTTTGTGTATAAATTAACTAGCTTGCCTTAGAAAAAAAAATAAAAGGGAGTTAGAAGCAAAGTATAAATTCTAGAGAGCTATTTTATAAGAGTGAAAGGAAAAGAGAAAGAGAAAGAAGCTTGGACCGGTGTAGGCAATTTTACCCGACTACGCGCAGACCGGCGGATTTATTTTAAATCCAAAAAGGCAAGTTATTATCTACTTTTCCCCTTTGAATTAATAAATTAATTGTTTAGCTTATTTTTATGCATAGAGCCAAGGTTTGGAGGTTAATAAATTATTAATTTTATTTTATTAAATTAATGGAATTTTAATTATATAGGATGGTATATATTTATTTAATGTCCTATGAAATTAATAATGGCTAAAAATAATTAAATACGACTTTAGGGATTTTTCTAGAATTTTCTAGATTTTTCCGGGCATTTTCTGCAATTTCCGGCGACCTTCCGGCGAGTTTTCCGGTCGCCGGCAGTGGGGGAGACGACCGGAGTGATCCGGTGCGACGCGGCACACCATAGGAGGGTGTACGCGCGCATCCTGGCCATTAGTGGAGTCTGATTGATCCGGTGCATCGCGGTCCATGATACCGCGGTACACCCGGATCTGTGGGCGTTGGATGGAGGGAAGATAGGGTGAGATGATCCGGTGTGACGCGAGTACGGAATCCGGATGCAGCCAACCAACCAGGAAGTGACACGTCAGCAAGGCACCCTTAGTGCGCGCGTGGCAGCGCGTGCGCGCGCGTGGGAGCGCGTGGCTGATGCCAGACGCGCGTGGAGGCGCGTGGGAGAGTGGGGAAGGTTGGGCTGCGCGTGGGGAGGCTCTGGGAGGCGCGTGAGGGCGCGTGTGGGGTCCCTACAGCTGCTGGAAATTACCAGAATACCCTTAGGGCCTGTTTTGTAAATTCCAGAACCTTAAACTTGGATTTTTAGGTACTGTGTTGGTAATTACGGGTTAACGGGCCACGAAATTATTATTTTAACACCCGTTACTTATTCTTATGGCTGATTAATCTTTTCTAAGCATTTATTGGCTCGTTCGCAGTACGGATACTAATGTGATTTATTTAACGACATTGTTAAATATAAATAGTGTTATTATCGTATTTAATGGTATCAAACATTACTGTTAAATTAAATAAGGCCATGGTTTTAATCAGATAAATTATCCATGATATCTTATAGGATGTTTATACTGTTAATTGATATATAAACCATGATTATTATGCTGTGTGCATTTCAGGAAATAAATGGACTGTTTAATTATGTCGCATTTATATTATATGGATGTGTTGCCATATAGAACCATATGAGCTGGCTAATAAGTTTAGACTCATTTATACCTTATGCATTCGTTGCGATAGACAGATGTGTGGCTGTCGGGGTATGTGGTTTAATATTATTGGCATGTGTTGCCTAATTGACATACTCGGTATATTTATTAATATTATTGGCATGTGTTGCCTAAATTGACATTCTCGGTACATTTATTAATA